TTAATCCTCTTCTTTGTCCTCAAGAAATGACACCTCATGTCGATGTGCTTAGTCCTCTCATGGTGGACTTGATCCTTGGCCAAGCATATTGCACTCAAACTGTCGTAATACACAACTGTCTGATCATGATGTAGACCCAGATCACCAACCAATCCCTTCAACCATATTCCCTCCTTAGCAGCTTCTGTCAACGCCATATACCCTGCCTCAGTAGTAGACAATGTCACCGCCGACTGCAGATTTGCCTTCCAGCTCACTACAGAACTCCCAAGAGTGAATACATAACCGGTCATCGATCTCCTCGTATCAACATCTCCAGCATAGTCCGAGTCAGAACACCCAGACACCAAGCATTCTGTATCACTTCCGAAGCTAATCCCCACATCAGGTGTACCCTTAAGGTACCGGAAGATCCTCTTCACAGCCCGCCAATGCTCCTTCCCAGGTTGTATCATAAACCTGCTGACAACACTAACAGCAAGTGCATGATCAAGTCTAGTGCATACCATAGCGTACATCAAGCTACTACTGCACTAGCATATGAGACTCTCGACATTTACTCCTTCTCAGCCTCTGACTGTGGTGCATAAGCTGAGGATAGATGAACATTTGAAGCACTAGGAGTATTTAAGGGCTTTGCTGAAGATATGCCAAACCTCGACAGTATCTTCTGGATGTAGCTCTTCTGTGACAAGAAAAGCTTCTTCTTCGACCTGCCCCTGTAAATCTCCATACCCAAGATCTTATGAGAAGCTCCCAAATCCTTCATCTCAAACTTAGCACTGAGAAGCCCCTTTAACTTCTGGATATCAGACTTCGACCTCGCAACTATGAGCATATCATCCACATAGAGAACAAGATAGATCATCGAACCATTCTCCACCTTGTTTTGATACACACAACAATCATATGGACTTCTGTTGTAGCCCAGCTCAAGCATGTAACTGTCAAATCTCTTGTACCACTGCCTCGGAGACTGCTTAAGTCCATACAAGGACTTCTTCAGCTTACAAACATAGTCTTCTTTTCCTAGAACCTCGAATCCTTCTGGCTGAGTCATGTAAATTTCTTCCTCCAACTCTCCATGCAGGAAAGTTGTCTTCACGTCTAGCATCTCGAGCTCAAAGTCATAATGTGCCACTATTGCTAGTAGCACTATGATCAAAGTATGTCTGACCACTGGTGAGAAAATGTCATTGTAGTCAACTCCTTCCCTCTGCGAGAAGCCACGTGCAACCACCTGAGCTTTAAATTTCATGCCCTCTTTAGAAGTGATTCCTTCCTTCTTCTTGTAGATCCACTTCTTTGTAACAATCTTCCTTCCCTGTGGTCATTTGACTAGCTCCCAAGTCTGATTCCTGTCATGGGATTCCATCTCATCTCCCATTGCGGCAAGCCACTAATCAGCTTCGCCACCCAAAATGGCTTCTCTATAGGACTGTGGCTCACCTGCATCCACTTCTTCAGCAACCTGAAATGGATATGCCACCATGTCCTCGAAACCATACCTCTCTAGAGGAACTCCTGCAGTCGCTCTCTTTGGTCTACCGGAAGCTATAGACTGTTGAGCTCCTACACTGGACTTTGAAGTTTCTGGCTGTGTAGAAACATCCTCATATTGATCTTCTCCACCTTGGTGCTCAAACTCACTCTCATTGACAATTTGCAGCTCCACCTGCTTATCAACATTCCTGCTACCTTCAACAACAGTAACCTTCAACATGGGGTTAAACATAGACTTCTCATCAAATATCACATTTCTACTGAGTGTAACTCGATGCTCAGAAGGTGACCAGATTCGAAATCCCTTAACTCCATCTCTATAACCCACAAATACACCCTTTTTTGCCCTTGGGTTCAGTTTACCCTCATCTACATGATAATAAACAGGACACCCAAAAACTTCAAGTGAAGAGTAATCAGCAGGCTTACCATACCACACCTCATAAGGAGTCTTAAACTCGATACCTGTGTGAGGTCTACGGTTTATCAGGAAGCACACCATGTTTACTGCTTCTGCCTAGAATCTTCTCTCTACTCCAGCATTAGAGAGCATACACCGTGATCTCTCCAACAATGTCCGGTTCATCCTTTCAGCACCGCCATTCTGCTCGGGTGTATCTCTCACGGTCCGATGACGGGAAATCCCTTCATCCTTGCAGAATTCATTAAACTCAGAATTACAGAACTCCAGACCATTTTCCGTTCGCAGCTTCTTGATTTTCTTCCCTGTCTGATTCTCCACCAATGTCTTCCACTGCTTGAACTTCGTGAAAGCCTCACTATTCTGCTTCATCATGAAAATCCAAGTAAATCTCGAATAATCATCAATAATAGACAGAAAATACCTGCTGCCTCCAATGGATTCAACTCGTGAAGAACCCCAACAGTCGGAGTGGAGGTAATCCAGTATCCCCTTCGTCCGGTGGATACCCTTTTTGGGAAACTTGATGCGATGTAGCTTCCCAAACACAAAATGCTCACAGAATTCCAAATTCTGCACCTTGTGCCCGCAAAGAAGATCCCTCTTTGATAGAACTTGCATCCCTCGTTCACTCATATGCCCCAGTCTCATGTGCCAGAGAGTGGTCATATCTTCCTGATGAACCTGAGACTATGCAATTGCAGCAGAACCAGACAACACAGACCCTTATAATGCATACAAGGTCCCACGTGTCACGCCCTTCAACACCTTCCTTGAACCTTTGCAGACATACACAACTCCACCTTTTCCTTTGAAGCTGAAACGCTTGCTGTCGAGTAGACTCAAGGAGTCTTTGTCATTCGTGGAACATGCCTGACATCATTCACGGTACAGAACGAACAATCCTGTGCCCGAACCTTTATGGACCCGATTCCAACAACCTTGCAGACAGCTCCATTTGCTATGACCACGTTACCACCATATATATATGTGCTCGTAGGTTGTGAAGCAATCCTTGTTCGGAGACATATGGTATGAGGCTACAGTATCCAGAAACCACACATCCCACGATGTGCCTTCTCATCTACAGTCAAGGCGAGATCGTCTTCAGAACTGTTGTTCACTTCTGCCACGGCAACTGAAACTTGTTTCTTCTGTTGCCCTCTTCTGCTGAGACAGTTGTACTTTCAATGCCCCACTTCCTTACAGTTGTGACAAGCATCACCTGGCTGTGGACCGCGACCCTTGGAATTCTTGTTTGAATTCCCTTTACCATATTTCTTCTTTCCCTTTCCACCTAAAACAGCCAAACCTGATGCCTCACCACCTGTACCAGATCCGGACGCCTTATGCTTGATCTCTCTCGTATGAAGAGCAGACCTGACATCCTCCAACGACACGCTTTCTTTACTGGCAATAAAAGAATCAACGAAATTATCATATGAACTCGGCAAAGAAACCATCAGGATTAGGGCAGCATCCTCGTCATCAACTTGAACATCTATGTTACGCAGATCCAGCAAAATAGAGTTAAGCTGTTCGAGATGTTCCCTCAAAGGCGTACCTTCTTGCATCCTCAAGCTTAACAACTGTTGCTTGAGATTCATCTTGTTGGTTAAGGACTTCGTCATATACAGACTCTCCAACTTTAACCACAAGCCCGCGACAGTCTTCTCAGTAGCGACTTCAATGATGACATCATCAGACAACGATAGCATGATGGTCGAGTGGGCCTTCTCTTCCAGGGTATTCCACTCATCGTCATCAACCGCTGCCTTCTTCTGTTTCGCAGACAGCGGCCCCCACAGCCCTTGCTGTTTTAGTATAGCCTGCATCTTGATCTGCCATATAGTGAAGTTGTTCTTCCCCGTGAACTTTTTGATCTTTATGTTCACCGACGTCATTCTTTTGAATCGAAAACCCTAGCCTGGTTTCCAGCCGCGGCTCTGATACCACTTGTTATAAACGCGCTGCTACGGATCGGGAAATCGCCGGAATCGAGAAAGCAAGAATACGAAAGCGAGAATCGAAAAACACAGACACACGATTTACGTGGTTCACTAACACGATGTGTGTTAGCTAGTCCACGGGCGAGAGAGAGCCAGTTTCACTAGATCGAGGAGATTACAGATTACAGAGGAGTATGAGAAGTATTTATAGTACTTCTCCATGTGGGTCTAAACCTAATCCAATCTGGCAAAGAAAACGGTTACAGACCAGGCCAGAACCCGAACCCAAATAACATTGAGCCCATACACCGCGGGCCGGGGGCATTGCCCCTAGACCCCACTCGGTGACCGGACAACAAGACCCCCGACTATCAGTCGTAGAGGCTAATAGTCCGATTCAAGTCACATCGAAAAAACAATATCTTCTTGTGCATCATTAATCAATGGTCGTGAGAGTTTTCTTCTCGTAGTAATATTGACAGCAAAGGAACTCTTGGTTTGGTTCTATGTTATCATTTACGAAATTTTTTTTATTTATTTTTCCTTTACTTCAAATTATTTGTAAGAAAAGTGTGAAATGATGTTTTGGCGAGCTAAAATTCCATTCTATTTCAAGATGAACGACGACCTTCTACAAATATAGGAAAAATTGTTATTTCAATTCAATAATTTTTCATATTTTAAAATTTATATGTTGTGAGTAAAAAAAAAATTACAAGTTTTCGATCCATCGTAATTGCTACATCTTTCCCAACATTGTCACATGGTTTATAGCTAGGTATAAGAACAATTACATCTTTGGATTAATGAGGATGTAAACTCCTTGAGCCATCCATCACATGCAAATGCAACTACACAACCCCTTTCCTTTGAGTTACGTTCTACATAGATTTCTCTAGAGAAGTTCAATTGTCGATGAGTTTATAGTCAATTCCAACACATAAACAACTACTACTCATGAGTCATGAGACAAGATGGAGGCAATAAATTTATTAGTGTCGTATGCTCGACAAAAAAACTATCTATATAGCCACCACCAAATTAAATAGTGTAAATTCTAAAAGAATCCAATATTTGGGATCCTCAGATTTGGAGCCCTATAAAAACCCCTCCAACCCTTTCGAACTTCGGCAAAAACAAACTCCACCAAACCCTCCCTTCTCCCAACCATCCCCTCCAAAAACCCCTTTTCCTCCTCAAAACCTCCAAAAATGGACAAACCGCCTCCAAATATAGTAGCCCAGAGCTCCACCATAATCAACGGCTGGGGAAAACCCTACAACCCAAAAACGGCGTCACCCAACAACATCTCGTTCATGGCGTCCCTAATCTCCATCTCCATCTACGTGTCCTTGTTCTATATCTGCCACATCTCCCCTTCCCAGCTCCTCCGCAACCCCAGCTTCTGGTGGGTCATCTCCAACACCTTGGTCCTCATCATCGCCGCCGACTACGGCGCATTCTCCTCCTCCGCCGCCTCCGTACAACCTTGTCATGATCACCACGACTCCTACGAGATCATGAGACGTACATCCGTCCGCACCCGATTCCCTCCCGCCAACGTGGTCCCCACCACCGCCGCCGCTCCCCTCCCGCCTATTCCGCCCCCGGAGCTCGTGACCAAGGAACAGGCCGGGCGTGCATTGGCGAGGAGGCTTGTTTGCAACGAGAAGAACGTCGATGATGATGAGGGCATGCGCAGGAGCATGTTGAGGAAAGGTGGGAGCGAATCGGCTCGTTACACGTGTCCGCCTCGGGGCGACAATGACGAGGTGTCAGCGGCGCTGCGGCGGAGTAAGTCGGAGAGGGGGAAGAGGAGGGTGATGATCGACGAGAGCAGAAACGTCGTCCGGAGATTCGAGAAGGTAATCGTCGTCCCGACCCCAGCGGAGGAGGAAGAAGAAGATTCCGGCCACCGTCACGAGGAAGACAGCGATGGCGATGATGATAGCAGCGAGTATGCGAAGCTGTCGACGGAGGAACTCAACAAACGCGTGGAGGATTTCATTCAGAGGTTTAACACGCAAATCCGGCTCCAGAACCAGGCTTGTGATTCCGGGGAGCTAATTCCTTCCTTAATTAATTAATTAATAACTATTAAGAATATTAATTAATTAATTGGACATGTATATGTACTTACGTACCTGTACATATGTATATATGTGGCCCCCACAATATTGGAGATCTAATCTAAGGGAGTTGTGCGCGGCACATCAAAAGAAATCCCGGGAAAAAATACCAAGAATTTTTCCCCTATTATTATTATTATTAAATTATTGTTCTGTTGGATTTGAACCATCATTTCTTTCTTACTCGCCTTATTGGGAATGGAATTGGAAAGAATGGACGAGTTTAGTAAATTTTTATCGGGTTGACTGGTATTAGTACCATTGTCAAGGAATGATAATCAATTAATCATCCGCAATCGTGGCTATTGGTTACTCTCTATTTTGTATCTAATCCATCAAAATATCAATTTCATCCAACCATTTAATTCGAACTCAATTGGATTGCTGGATTTTTAGATTGTTAACAGATTGTAGTTTAATGCCTATATTTTTTATTTGTTACAATTGCATACCTCAATATTAATTTTTTAATGGAAGATAATATTGAAAATTTACATTTTATTACCTATTATTATGACATTTTAGTACCTAAACTTTTTAAAAATTACATATTGGTCCAATATTTATATGTTACTTGGATCCATCATAAATCCGATTCACTAATCCGTTTGATCCAATCCAAAAATCCATCAGTCCATTTGCTCCAAATCCATGAATCTATTTCATTTGCCACCTATATCTCCAACTCGATCAACAAGGTGGATTTTGTAAGAACGTGGGTAAACTTTATGGAAGGATCTCTCTTAACAACTTGATTTATTTGAACCCGTTGGAATGTAGGACCTAATATCATGGTTGTTTATCTTTGAGTACACGATGTTCAAGTCATCACAACTCATAATATGAACTTTTGTCTTGAAGTACATGGTATATTGAGCTATGCAATTTTCAAGCCCATAAGTAATGAATCATTTTTCATTTTGAGAGGGTGTGTATGAAAATAATTAAAATTCATATATTGATTTCTTTTAACAACTCGATTTATTTGAACTACTTGGTTTGTAAATTTTTATTTGAATTCACCTAGTTCTAAACGGGTAAATGGAAACAAACTTGCTAAGAAGATGACGGGATGGATTTAGAAGCCGAAGCCATTAAGCCAGCATGTTTAATATCCCCTCCCTTTGATTCCTCTACATATATTCATCTAATCCCACCTCCCCCATCCCCCATCAAATTCCAAATACAACACATCACAAAGTTTATGAATTTTACTTTTCCAAATTCATCAACACATGTAAACAAGAACTTGTTTAGTAGTACTATAATTGATCTTCAACTTAGAGATTTTATATTCAAATTACTTAAATTTATATTTAACAATAAAAACAAACTCATATCACCTTATAAAATAATTTATCTAACACATGCCACCTCGTTTCTAACCCATATTTAATATTTAAATCCTAAATTTTAAGTAAAAAAGGAACAAATACATTAACTCGTTTATTGTGCTTATTGTATTTTTCCTTTTGGTAATCAGTGTATGACACATGATATATTATTTTAATGTTCATGCTCTAAAAATTTAACATATTCATTTTTTTTTATGGAGAACATATTTTCAAATTAATTACATTAGTTTCAGGATAAATTTTGATTTGTATTCATAAAAAAAATTGATTGGACGTGCGCGAAATATCTCAACCAGCATGAAATATCTCAACCAGAATTAGTTGCATCAGGATAAAACCCATAAGACTGAAGACGAGCATGAAATATCTCAACCAGCATGGAAATTAATAAAATATAAATTTAAAAAAACGATAACGAAAATAAAGCATGGGAATGAATTTTGGATAATACACACCAATCCGATCCAACTGATTGTCATACCTAGCGGTGAAATCTTTGATGGACGATTGTTACGTGAAGTGGCAGATTCCGTGTTCGACTCCTATCAAGATCTGTTATAGACTATAATGTTCTCGAAAGCATTTTAATAAAAATCTTCATGGAGAGCCTGAAAAGTTCAAGCAGGTAAACCTTTAAATTTAGTTTCATTCCATCATCGCTGAAGCGATTCCTGGGATATAAAAGAAATCCTTAGCCATTGCTAGTTTAATATACTTGCTAGAGCGTCTCTCTCGCTAGTGGCTATGTTTTTTCAAACACTGTCAAGTTGCAACAATATCGATCATATATGCTAGTTATTTGTCTTTTTCCTCCTGGCTTTCTGGTTATAATTCCCCTCAAACGTAAATTAATCACCGACTATATATACATATGAACATTGATGAACCAATAGACTGATTTCTGCTAGAGAAAAATAAAAGAAATGGAAAACGTATATATATATCCCAAACCTTGACTTATAAGTTATAACCAAGAGTCTATAGAGTGCACATACCAAACAAATCGGCATGTTCTTGGTTACTATACACAGCTGAGAGTGGAATGGGCCGCGATTCAACTACACAGTTCCTCAGATAACGAAATTAGTAATTAATAAACCATCAAGTTGTCGTCCGGCTATTTGACTATGTATACTTAGCTTGATTCAGTATTCGTAAGGCTTAGTGATAACATTATATAGAAGATAATTTGGAACATTTTTAACTAATTATCATAGGGTTTGGTTCATATTTTTGGAATTTTGTGACGTAAATTTGTGGTACGTACACTTTATAGCATTTCATGTTTAAATGGATGAGTTAATTCGAATTCAAATGTTAATTATCTCTATCTTATCCATTTAGTTAGTATTATGAATTAGTAGATGTGAAACATGAATTGAATTAATAAATTGGTGGATTATCGGATTGGTGGATCTATGGATCAAGTGGATTGGTGGATTGATTCACGAATCCAAACGAAATCCAAGGATTTGACCATCATGTAAAATTTGAAAAATTTAGGTACTTAAATGGCATAACGAAAAATTTTAGGTGCCAAAAGTAATTTTCTACAATGATATTTTTTGAACAAGATTTCAAGTCACAACAACACATTACCTATAATATAATACAGTATTATACCGACGGTCTGAACACAATTTTCCTATCGATAATCAAGCCATACACTATAAGAAAAAGTCTGTACCGGCCGGTTCGATGTGATCAATACCATTCCGCTGAATTATCCAATATATACCATCTCATGTCTTACAAATTAAGCAAAACATGGTATTATCATTATGATCACCATCTATCATATACATAAATGCTCATGCATCTCATTCTCAATCACTGGCGCAGGAATGACTTGGTATGGTCAGTGGAGGATGTGACTTGCTAGCTAGCTAGCTAATACGAGTCCAGGGACGTACGTACGGTGTCGATGGAGGACAAATGGATGAACCGGCGGCACTGAAAGCAGGCTAGGGTTTTGAATTCATGCCAAATAATAATCCAACAAAGGCAACGTGATTCTCCTCAACTATGTCCAAACACAAGAGAACTGGGCATGTGGGTCTGTAATGTGGAATGATTGAAAGGCAACTTTCAGGTGGTGGCAACCCCATCCGTCGGTTTGAATTCCTTGTCTCTGCCATTATCATTCTTGCTTCCGATCACTGTACTAACTAACTGCTCGCCTCTCTTCTCCTGCCATGCATGCATTCAAGTCCACATCATCGTTCCAGTTTAACGACACCTCCTAACATCTAAAATTAATGCTACATTCTCTTCTCTTTTCTTCAAAAACAAAAAAGAAATATGGAATGATACGTCCTGGAATATTGTTATCATTTACCCACGTTTTTTGACGTATATACTATTGTTTCTGTCCCCTCCTAGATGGGTGGATGAGTTGGAAAATTGTTCACGTATACTATTTTCTTGCAACACAAGCAAACACATAAGATTGAGAAAAGATGTAAAGACACATGCAAGCGTCCTAACCGATAGAATTCACTATCTCAAGAATCTTATTCCCCTCTAGTACCCAAGGTTATGGAATGGTTCCTCCCATGATAGAAAGGACGTACCTTTTCCGGCGTAGCGGTACCTCAAACCCCGGAACCCATCGAACGCAGCGAACCGGCGAGAACCACACTTGACTCGATTTTCTCTTTCAAAAGAATGCAGAAAACTAGTTTTGGATTTTAGCAAAGTTTTGGTACCGAAAAACCCATGTCAAAACCAGAGGGGGTTAGGTGCTATTTATAGAAAATGAAGGGGTGCTTACGAAGGGAGGCAACTCTTCGTATGGGTGGTTACACCCCAACCAACACATTGGTTCATTTTAAAATAATGAACCATTGCATCGGTTCGGCTCATGGTAGCTGGACCGGTTTGGTTATTCCAACCGCCATATCGGTTCGGTTCGATTTTGTTCAACTCGGTTTGGTTTGGTCCGTTTGGTACACAAAACAATTTAACCGATTAACCACATATTACATCAAATCGACCGAATTCGAGACCGTGCCTTCCCACATCTTACCAACATGGTACTTCAAGAGACTCTCTTGGATTTTTCCCCTTTCATTTCCATTCACACCACTAAAAATCCCAACAATCCGCCACATGAATGGAGAATGTTGTACTTTAAAAACTATGCAAAAAATCATGTGATTCTCGACTCAGAATTAGTTGCATCGGGGTAGGTAGGTTTCCCTTTGAACCTTCCTTAGTGAACATATATCGAGTATACTCACCAATCGATAGATGTGATATCTTTGAACCGTCGGTTTTGCTTGTATACTAAGACAACATATATCACACAACTAACTCTCCGTTCACTGGTTCTCGTTGTTGTGTTCGTTTTTGCCATGAACACCGCCTGGTCTCATGAGTGCTTAGAGAACTGGCCTTCTTTTATTCTCCTTGAAGCGGCTCCACTTCACACTCACATAGGTGATTTCTAAACGTGTTTTCCGAAAATACACTATTTGATCACACCACGTGTCAAACTTAGAAACCATTAAAAACCTTTCATATTTAGGTTTACCCTTATTTTGGACATTGTCTCATCATGAGAATGGACATTGAATAATTTGACAATGCGGACCATCATTCACAACTTTGTATGCTACTTGAACCTAGAGGTTGGGTCTGCCAATCCTACTTAGGTAAAGTTACCGCCATGATGATTTGTCCTAGGTCACGAGTTCATTCCCTTCGATGCTTTAATTAATTTCTAGGTGGGCCCCATGTTTGTTATCGTTT